ATTAAAGGACGAAGCCATGTCAGATTTGAAATCGTCTGTTGACATTTTGTCTTCTTTTGTTAGGTTCTTCTAAACTTTCTCACTTGTGACCTTCTCTTCTGATGAAAACAACTTTCGACTCACATGTGGCTTGTTTGAGTTCGTAGTGCTTGAAAGGAACTTGTTACTACTGGAGTCCCCCATGTCCTTCGATGCTAGCTCTCTCTCAGTCTTTTTTATCCTCTGGTGCCTCCTCCATTGGGATCTGGACATTGGGTTTTTTCCTTTGTAGTTCTCTAACCTGTACGCCTCTCTCTTTGATGTCTGAAAATACTTTCTGTAGGCCATCAAAGTTCTGCCCCTTGGTCGAAACTTCTCCACTTTCCTCTTCCCGCCCTCGCTTGTGTCCATCTATCTGTTGGTACTTCTGCTGGAAGTTTGAACGTGACTCTCCTAGCTTTGGGGTGAGGACTATCTTTCCTTCTGGGGACTCCCCTCTTGCCGAAGACGTATATGTTGGGGTTGCTACCTTGTTTGTCCCATCCATGGGTGAATGGAATTCTTTCAAACATTTCAGCCATCTCTTTGTCATACACTACCCCACACCTGGGACATAACAAACATTTTGTTTCCGATTTATAACAACGTACCAAAAAACCAAGCAGACTTTCCCCTAGCTTTGGGTACACTTTCATCAACTGGCTTTTGTGCCTCCAATTTCCATGGGTTCTAGCATGCTGCACTCTTTCATAAGCCTCTGCAACCCTTCGATTCAGAGCAATGCTGCATCTTGGACACATCAGCATCTCCGAATTCCTTTGATGACACCTCCAGAGGTATTCTCACAGAGTCTCATTGGCCTTGGTAGCCAAAACTCATTTATTCCCTTTCCAGCTTGAGGCATCTTTCGACTTCTTCCATTTCTGGTGGAGGTTGGTTCAAATCCACCATGTTAACTCTTATACTAGGACCTTCAACAATCCTTATCTTCTCAAATTTGACTCTAAGGCCTTCAGTAGCCTCAGTTATTCCTCCCTTAGGGCCTCAGTGGCCTCTGATTCAACATCACCTGCAGAAATATTTTCTCCAGGGGTGTCAAAAGGGATTATGTTAGTTAGACCTTCATTAGCCTCTTTGCCATTCATGTTTGAGCCTTCGACTCTCTTGGCCTCTTCTCCTTCATATTCCACCATATCCACCATGTTGATTTCCACAAGTTCAATATAATTAGTGTCTACAACATGGAGGGGGTCAACATCAACCTTCATGTGGCTCTTGACCCTGTCAGCAAACTTCAAGCGTCCTTATTTGATGGAATTTTGAATAAGATCCCTGAAAAGAAAGTATTGTGAAGTTTTATGGCCCAGAAAGTTATGATACTTGCAAAAACCTCTTTTCTTTCATTGTTCTAACAGAGGAATTTTGGCATTATGAGACACTATCATTTGACCATCTTTTATAAGCAAATCGAAAATCTCATCACATTTAGTAATGTCAAACGTATAAGCTTTCTTGGGGAATTTGTCATTCTTTTCTACTTCGACATGATTTCTGTCGTTTGCTGGTGTAAGTATTTTACAAGAGTACGGGGGTGCTTCCTTTAATTCAGCCAAATCGACTTCGAATTCCTCAAGATCATATATGTCATCAAAGGCTTCTCTTTCCTCTTCTTTGATTTCTACATAAGCTACCCTCTCTTTCTTATAATTCTTACTTGCCCTGGCCTTTTCTGCTTTCAAATGTTCGATTTGTCGAACTCTGTCTGCTAATTGGGCCATGTCTCTTAGATACTGAGTATCTAGTTTCTTTCGAATGGAGTAAACTAATCCCCCAACGGCCATTTCGACCAATTTGGGTTCAGGCACTACTGTGAAACATCTAGATTTCAACAAACATAACCTATTTAAATAATCATTTATAGGTTCAATAAACTTTCTTTTAATGCTGGCTAATTTCTTCAGACTTATTTTAGTTTTTCCCATGCAGAATTGTTCATGGAAAAATCTTTCTAAATGAGGCCATGTATCTATAGACTTTGGTGGCAATGTAGTGAACCATGTAAAATCATTTTTTGTTAATGAACTAGGAAAACATTTTATCCTTAAGTTTTTACTATTTTCCAAGTCCCCTGCTTCTATCAGATACCTGGACACATGTTCGACAATTGATTCGTCAGTATCTCCTGAGAATTTTGTGAATTTGGGGACTTTATAACCTCTTGGTAATTCTGCCTGCAAAATAAAATCTGTTAATGGAGATGTGTAATTTGACCGTCAAAACCATGTATTCAGACTATTTTGGGCCATGATTCTTTCGATCATGGTGGTTAAATTATTTTTAGCCAGCATGCTATCCTGCCTAACTCTATGAATCACTTCTTCTGCATTTTGATCCCTGTTAACCATTACTATTCTTCTAGGTTGCTCCTTAGGGATCTCATTTCGAATTTCTCGTCGTTCTACCCTTGCCCCCAAGTCTCTTTTGCCGGGCCTCTTGTCTGGGTGGTCGAACCTGATTGATAGTGGGTTCTTCCTCTTGAATTGCCACCTGATTTTGCCTATGTCGAACAGGTGCTTGTGGGGCTCCAAAAAAGTCTGCTATGCACACCATATGCGCTGACATTTGCTGATAGGATTGGGTATTCTCTTGATTTGTCCTATTAATATTCTGGATCAAAGGAGAGAAAATGGTATTCACTTCACGTGCAAGCACTCTTACCATGTCATGGTTACTAGCATCTATTTGTTGCCTAAACGCTGCCTGAGTGTTAGTTGTGAGTATAGGCAATTGGTTTGACAATCCTTGGTTCTGCATATTTCGACCCACATTGTTCATGCCAGAACCAGAGTTTTGCACTGGCGAAAAGGTTGTCATGGTAGGATGTGTATGTGTGGTTGTATTATTCTGTAATCTTGACATAAGGGAAGTTGGCATCCCGTATTGGGGTTGCTCCCTCCAAGTCATAAAATTTTCAAATCCTGGTGGTCTAGGGGTTACAAGTTGAGTATGATTTCCCACATATGTCAATACATGGTCAGTTTGAGTGTTCGAAGGGATCTCTATCGTATTTGCAGAGATATGCATGGTTGTCGAATTGTTCCTGGGTATGGCCCCTGTGGACCCCAGGTATCGAACTATTTGTAACCATGGTTCCTGTGGATGTGGACATGGCTTGTGAACCAGGAATCACAGTTGACGCATTCTTCATACTTGCAATGCTTGTGCCTGATCCTTGTGGAGGATTTTGTTCTCCATCATTGGCAGTACTAACCATCTTTCTGGTTTGTTTTCTTTTGGGTATTGGTTGTTTGTTGTTGGTTATCTTACCACTCCTAAGGTTCATATACTAGGCAAGAATAGGTTTGTAACAGAAACTGCTATAAAGACCCAAATCGAAAGAATATAAACAATGTGACTAAAACACTTTGACATTGTCCCACTGGGCGTGCCAATTTGTTTACCGGTGATTTCTGACAGACAACCACTAGTCTTCCAAATCTTATGCTTTGGTAACTTACATGATCGACTAGATTGATCCTAGGACATAGTCTTAATGTTCTTATAGTTTGATTCGAAGGAAAATATTGTATGAATAATAACAAGATTTTTCTATGATTATAATTATCTTAAGATGTTGAAAGTTTGACTATGAATCTTAAATATGACTTTAAAGGGAATAATCTGGGTATTTGTAAAAAGGTAAAGACAATGCTTAATAAGAAAAGTAATAAAATTGTTAAAAGACTAGACTAGAAACGAAAAGAGAATGAAAATGATTAAAGACTTTGTACTGAGAAATTAATTCTGAATAAAATTGGTGGTGGTGTTCTTACACATACATTATCAACAAACTCGTCTCTCTCGCTCCGGTACTTTGAGTGTAATGTGAGTTTGTATACAATTTGAACCCACACTTTTTCTGATATCTAAGACTTCTATTTATACTGATTGGACCCTAACGGTCCTTCTACGAAAACATGCCACGTTCGAAGATTGCATGTCTTTCGAACTATTAGACTTCCACGTGTTCCTTTGGATAAGATCGGAGCTTTTGAATTCAAAATCTTCTCTCTTTCGAAGCGCCAATTCGAACAACATAACAGTCGAAATATCTTTTTTTGTAATGCTTCGAATAACTTATATTTCCACAGTTCGAAAATAAACCCTTCGATAACGGTTCAATATAGTAAAACTCTTTACTAGCTCTGCATCAATCGAAGACTCCATAAAAATCTTCTCATACTTTCTCTCGAACAACTCTTTCTTCGATTAAAAGCCTTAATTATTCAAAACTTGTATAATCGAAATTCCCAGCTAACAATATGTTAAGACTTGATAACTCTTTATCCATGATTTATGAGATGTGATCATTAGTCTATCTACGTAATAGTCTCAATGCTTTAACATTATCCTACTTCACAATAAAATTCGACTATAAATACATTAAAAATATTATCCTTATGTTTAATGGAATCTCATGCGTTAGTCACAATTAACATTTTATTAACCTTATTTCAATTAAAATGTAAAATTGCTACATTATATTGGTTATTTAATTTGCTTTGAAAATGTTACATGCATCAACTTACTTTCTAATGCTTTTATAATTGGTTGATTGCATTACAAGAACTTTACTATGTGCAAAGACAAAACTAGTCAGAACTAATCTTACATATTTTGGTGATGGAACATCTTGCCTAAGAGGAAAATGGTTAAGAAAGAACTACTTTTGATTTGTTATATCTACTTTAAATAACTGTTGCCTCTTTGTTTTTTGACAACTTTTTTTATGGATGGATACAACAATGCTACATACATATTACCAATGTCTTTGACACAAGAAGCAACTGAGTATGCACCACCAAATGAGACAAGTGCATGAGAGTATGCACTACCACTCTTCAATTAATCCAATTCTAAATTTGACCCACAGCTATTTTTACCCATATACACTGGTGTAGACCTACTAGTTATTAATAATTTCATCTTGATTCTGCAACAATTTCTCTCTCACGAGAGCGATGACGTTTATGAATAACATTAGAAGCGCTACGAAAGAAGCGTTGGACCGCACAGCGATAATCGCAAAGTTCTTATGTTGCCTTCACTTCACCGCCAACTACCTCTGTTCCCCAACTCACGTATTCATTCCATTCCCATTCTTCTTCCTCGTGTGTTTTTCTATACCCTATCCACTCAATTGCTGTAATCCTCTGTTTGCAGGCGTACGGACCTAGCATGCTCCCTACCCTAAACATCGCCGGCGATGTTCTTCTCGTCGAACACCTATCTCCGCGGATCGGGAAAGTTGGTCATGGTGACTTGGTTCTTGTTCGCTCGCCTTTGAACCCTAATCGGAACTTGACAAAACGTGTTGTTGCTATGGAAGGGGATACTGTTACTTTCTTTGATGCTTCGGGTTCCGATTCCTCCAGAACTGCTGTGGTGTGTCTCATTAATGGTTTGTTCTTTGTTTTATCTTTTGATTGTTTTTGTTTTTATTTTTCTAGTTTATTTGATTGCGGTCATGCAAGTTTTTGTAAGCCCTAGTAGTTTTGTCCTTATTTTAAAGATGGTTCAGTTAGTTTAAAAACTATTCATAGTTCCGATTCCGCAATGTGACACTCTTTTGGGGTCCTGGAACAGTAGTCCCTAATCAAGGTTAAGGGGCTAAAGGATCTATTAAGAACTCTTGGCCGTGAGACTGCAAGCGATTGATTAACATGTGTTCAATAAGAGGATTATTACTTGTGTGGTATGTCCCATTTAGATGAGTCTTTTGGGTTGTCCTTTCAACTGAGTTAGATGTCTAGGTGATAATTTCAGAGAACAGATTTAATTAAGAGAAGGATTGGATGCAATTTCCTACTTCTTTCATATATATGGAATAGAAAGTTCAGTTTCATTACAATTTACAAGGTTTCTTCATAATAGAGTAAATAGGGATTAGTGCATGTTAGTAATGCCAGTTGTATGCTGATGTGTAACAATTCTAGCTGCTCTATATAAGAGCCTTTGTATTCTTTCATTGTTAACTATCAATATATGAAATACACACTTTGCTTTATCCCTTTCTCTCTTATGATACTCTATCATGGTATCTAGAGCTTTCCTTTTTCCGATCTAGTGACCTTGATCTATGGCGTCTCCGCTTCGCAACGACGGCGTGTTTCCTTCTTCTCACGTTAAGCTCTCACATCTTATCTCCGTCAAGCTTGATGATAAGAACTTCAAGCAATGGAAACAACAAATTGACGGTGTTGTTCGTGGCCACGAGCTTTTCAACGTCACGGTGTCCTCAGCGTTCTCCTTCGACTTCCGATCCTAATCTTAGCGAGGTGAACGATGCATATCTTGATTGGGAACAACAAGATGCTCTTATTTGCACGTGGCTTCTCTCCACGATCTCTGATTCGCTGCTTCCAAAGCTCGTTGACTGCACACACGCGTGGCAGGTTTGGACGGAAGTACATCGTTACTTCGCCACGCTACTCACGACGAAAGCACGTCAGCTTCGCTCGGAATTGTGTCGTCTCTCCAAAGGTACTCCCACTATTGAGTCGTTCATGATGCGTGTTCGTGAAATCAATGAATCCTTGATCTCAATTGGGGATCTTATTCCTCTTCGTAACCTAATTGAGATAGTTCTTGATGCACTCCTTGAGGAGTACGATTCTATTGTCGCCGCTGTTAATAGCAAGGAAGATCTTAGCTCTTTGGATGAACTCGAGTCTTGTCTCCTTGCACATGAATCGAGATTGGAAAAGCATCGCAAAGCCTCACGGAACCGGTATCGGTCAATTTGACGCAGGCTCCATCGTCTGACTCGTCTTCTCCGGTGGAAACTTCGTAGCCTGCTTCAGAGTCGTTTCCCATTGGTACTAGTCACGTGACAGTTCATGCTGAAAACAACAATTACAACTCCAGAGGAGGTCGTTCTGGCCGTGGTGGTGGTTGTTTTGGCCATGGCGGTGGCCGTTTTGGTAAGCCTCAATGTCAGATATGTCACAAAAGTGGACATGATGCTTTTGTTTGTTATTACAGGTATTCGCAATCCACTTCTATGCAGTTTTCACCTCAACGTGCTCCTTTCAATCCTTTCTTGATGAATGCTCGATCAATGTATGCACCTTCTTTTGGTTATGCTTCTCCTAGACCAACTGCATCCAGATCTTCTCTACCACAAGCGTTTATGGCGTGTTCTGATCCAACCTTCAGCAATCAGTGGTGGTATCCTAATTCAGGTGCGTCACCTCATGTTACACCTGATTCTTCTAATGTGTCTGACGCTCACTCTGTGACTGGCTCTGAGCAAGTATTCATGGGGAATGGCCAAGGTTTGTCTATCAACTCTATAGGTTCCACGAATTTTACCTCACCTAACTCTCCTCACAAACCACTCACCTTACACAATTTACTCCTTGTACCTCACATCACCAAAAACCTTATCAATGTTAGCAAATTTGCCCAAGACAATCAGGTTTTCTTTGAATTTCACCCTTACTTTTGTCTTGTTAAATCTCAGGCTTCTTCTGAGGTGCTTCTTCACGGAGTTGTAGGAGCTGATGGTTTATACAAGTTTCAAAGTCCCTCTTCTCAAGTGCCCAAGTCTCTCCCTAGTCTCAATTCTAGTGTAGCTCTAGGTTCAAATGATTGTAATCCTAGTACATCATGTAATACTTTACTTCATTCCAATGCCGATTGTATTACTGCTTGTACTCCTTCAGTTTCAATGAATAAAAGTGACTTTTTCTGTGCTAATGCACCTCTTGTTCATGCTACTACCTTTGCTAATTCTCAGTCTCTACAGCACCCTACTGTTTCTAATATTATTCCTAATAGCAAGTATGCCCTGTGGCATACAAGGTTAGTACATCCTCATTACCAAGCTCTTGCAGAGGTGCTGAAAACTTGTAATATTCCTATACCTCCTAAATCTCAAGCTGAACTCTGTACTGTCTGTTGTTTAGGGAAATCTCACAGAGTGCCTACCTCTTTATCCACTACTGTGTATGCACAACCTTTTGAGTTAGTGGTGTGTGACTTATGCGGACCAGCTCCCATACAGTCTTCAGGTGGTTACACCTATTTTTTGAACTGTGTAGATGCCTTTTCGGTGTATTTTTTGACCTGTGTAGATGCCTTTTCCAGATTTGTTTGGGTCTTCCCTTTGAGACTTAAATCTGACACACTCACTCAGTTTGTCCAATTCAAAACCATGGTTGAACTTCAATTCAACTGCAAAATTAAAGTTGTTCAGAGTGATGGAGGAGGTGAATTTAGGCCTTTCACCAAATATCTCAATACCCTTGGCATTACTCATAGGTTTACATGTCCCCATACCCATCATCAAAATGGCATAGTTGAACGTAAACATCGTCATATTGTAGAAACAGGTCTAGCATTATTAGCTCACTCTAACTTACCTCTCATGTTTTGGGACCATGCTTTTGTCACAGCTGCTTACCTAATTAATAGGTTACCTAGTGTATCTCTTGCCAACCAGTCCCCTTATTTCAAGCTTCTTAACAAAGTACCTGACTACTTTCATCTTAAAGTTTTTGGTTGTAGCTGTTTTCCGTTCCTTCGTCCCTATAACTCTCATAAGTTGGATTGTCGGTCCCAAGAGTGCATATTTCTTGGCTATTCTACCATTCATAAGGGTTATAAGTGTCTTGCTGGTAATGGCCGCATTTACATTTTCAGGGATGTCCTTTTTCATGAAACAAAATTTCCTTACTCCCTTCTATTTCCCTCTTCTTCCCCTGTTGCATCCACATCACCCTCTTCTACTTCTTCTGCCTGGTCTATACCAGCAGTTCCTATGTCTGCTGTTCCTCTAACTCAAGTCAATTCTATTCCTGCTACACCTACTACATCTAGTCCTTGTAGCAGTCCTATTTCTGCTCCTATTAATTCCGCCAATTCTCCCATCATAACATCTCCCAACAATGCTTCCTCTACTTCTGCAAACTCTCCTTCCCACTCTCCCATTACTCCCTCTTCTCTCACCCCTCTCACATCTGATATTGCAGAGGCTAGCACCATTTCTCCTTCTTCTGTCCAGGAGAAGATTTCTCTTCCCAGCCCTGTTTCAGCCTCCTAACAACCCTCTATCCATCCCTATAATACTCATTCCATGCAAACTAGAGCCAAAAGTGGCATTATTAAGCCTAGACTTCACCCTACTCTTTTACTCATACATATGGAACCTACTTCAGTTGGTCAGGCTTTGGCTTCTCCCCATTGGTCTCAGGCCATGAAAGATGAATATCAGGCATTATTAAAGAATCAGACTTGGACCTTGGTGTCACCATCTGTTTCTAGGAAGCCAATTGGTTGCAAGTGGGTATTTAGGGTGAAGGAGAACCCTGATGGCTCCATTAACAAATACAAGGCCAGGTTGGTAGCTAAAGGCTTCCATCAGCAAGCTGGCAGTGATTTTACAGAGACCTTTTCTCCTGTGGTAAAGCCTGTTACAGTCAGGACTGTCTTGACTCTTGCAGTTACTCACAAGTGGCCTATACAACAGATTGATGTGAACAATGCCTTTTTAAATGGCACCCTTGAGGAGGAAGTTTATATGCAGCAGCCTCCTGGGTTTGAAGCTGCTGACAAGGGCCCTTGTATGCAAGCTGAACAAAGCTATTTATGGGCTCAAGCAGGCTCCTAGAGCCTGGTTTGACAAGCTTAAAGGTTCTTTACTGCATCATGGTTTTCATGCTAGCAGATGTGATCCTAGTCTATTTCTCCTTCACACTGCAAGCTTAACCATAATGGTGCTGGTGTATGTTGATGATATTATCATCACTGGTAATTCTTCCTCCTTTATTACTGCATTAATAAAAAATTTGAATACTGATTTTTCTCTCAAACAGCTAGGCAAGTTGGACTATTTCCTTGGCATAGAGGTCACACACTTGCCAAATGGTTCACTCCTTCTCTCTCAAGCTAAATACCTGACTAATTTGCTGGCTAAGATTAACATGCTCAATGCTAATGGCATGCCTACTCCTACGGTGTCCACAAGTAAATTGTCTAAACTTGGTTCTGAAGCTGTTTCTGATCCCACTCAATTCAGATCTGTTGCGGGGGCTCTTCAATATGCCACTCTCACCCGACCTGAAATTTCATTTTCTGTTAACAAGGTTTGTCAATTCTTGTCTAATCCCTTGGAGGAGCATTGGAAGGCAGTTAAAAGGATCTTGAGGTACCTCAGTGGCACTCTGCATCATGGCTTGCTGATTCAGCCTGCCTCATCCCATCAACCTCTATCTTTGCTTGGGTTCTGTGATGCTGATTGGGCATCAGACCCTGGCGACAGAAGGTCTACCTCTGGAGCTTGTGTTTTTCTAGGTCCAAACTTGATTTCTTGGTGGTCTAAAAAGCAGCAGTTGGTAGAGGCTGAGTACAAGAGTATGGCTCAGCTTGCTGCAGAAATCCTTATGGATGCAGTCCCTTCTTCATGAACTTCACTGCAGAATTCATACTCCCAAACTCCTCTGTGACAACCTCAGTACAGTTACTCTTGCTCACAATCCTGTGCTGCACAATAGGACCAATCATATGGAATTGGACATATTCTTTGTAAGGGAAAAAGTGCTCTCCAAGAATCTCATAGTTGAGCATGTGCCAGCTCAAGATCAGTGCAGACTTACTGACTAAGCCTCTTTCAGCAGCCAAATTTCTCCCTCTGCGTGACAAACTGAAGAATGTTCAACAAACTTAGTCTGCTTGATGCATCCTCAGTTTCTAAGGGGGAATAATAGAGTAAATAGGGCTTACTGCATGTTAGTAATGCCAGCTGTATGCTGATGTGTAACAATTCTAGCTGCTCTATATAAGAGCCTTTGTATTCTTTCATTGTTAACTATCAATATATGAAATACACACTTTGCTTTATCCCTTTCTCTCTTATGATACTCTATCACTTCATATTAGGTAATTCATAAGATTCCATATAGCAGATATGCTGATTATTTTCAATGAGCCTTGACGAAATGCATTTTATCTGATTTGCTCATTTTGTCGTCTTCATTATTTTGCCGTAACAATTATGGTAAAAGTTAAGTTATTTGATTATGGTGTCTGGTTATGTTACATGAAATATCCCTATGTTCTTGGCTGAGGCAGTTGGTCATTTTTTTAGATTGCAATATTTACTTATTTACTCAAGCTTACATATATCCTTGATTGATTCCATGTATTAGAGCATCCTTCTGATCCAATTCTTCTTGTTTAGTCTTAAAACTCTATAATCAATAACTTAATAAACAACTGTCTTATTTCTTTTCCATCTGCTTTTATTACATGTTTTGCAGGTTGAATTTATTTTTCCTGTTCTAAATTATAATAATAATATTGTTTAATTTCTTTTTATAAGTCTAATTTATTGCTTAATTTATCAACAATTTTTTTCCCGTAGGTGCCAAAGGGGCATGTTTGGATTCAAGGAGATAACATCTATGCTTCCCGTGATTCACGCCACTTTGGTCCTGTTCCGTATGGCCTTATAAAAGGAAAAGTGTTTTTGCGGGTAACTGTCATGCCTCATACTATATTCTTCAACTTTTTATAATTCCATTTTGGTTCAATAGGTTTCTCTTCATTATTTTGATTCTTTAGAGGTTTATACTGAAATTTATTTATAGCTTAGTTTCATGTAGTTCAATATTGTTTTTCCTGAATAATTTTGAGGGAGCTAGGGTTCTAACGATACTGTTCTATTATCACATGACTGCTTCTATGTTCTTTCCGGACTCATACCTATACTTGGAAACATCTACTGAATCTATGTTTATAAACTGTAAATTTAATGGCTAGAGAAATTCTAGATGTTTGTTGCTGATCTAGATGTGGTATACTGAAAAAACTCATCGATCATTGTTGTGATAACATCATTTGCCAATTGGAACTAGGTTCTTGTGATTAGTCACTTTTGTGTTATTATGCTTTGCTAATAGAATTTTTCTTGATCCCAACAAACTACATATTTGTTACACACTTCTCTTTCAAGTGCGAAATTGTTCTATTTAACTGAATCTAGTATAAAGATATGTCAAATACTTTTTACTATCAGGTTTGGCCACCCAGTAGCTTTGGACTGCTTGATAATTGAAGATATTTTAATGAAGGTACGTACTTCCATACTTGCTATTACTGCGTTTAATACGTCTGTTTTTCCTTTTGTTTAGAACACTTTTTCCAGTCTCAGAAATAAACATTATAAACTACAGTATAGAAAATGTAAATGTTCATACTTATTCTGCTTAAGTTGTAGAGTTACAGTTATTAGGTTTTATGCTTATGAATGTGGATGTCGAAAAGTTTGAATAATGTCTGTTATGATAAAGAAAAAGAATTAGTTTTCAGTTTCATCTATGAATAATGTCTTGAACCAAATCCTTAGGCTATAGAGCTTATGCTTTCCTGTCTACATGAATAAAAATTTCAACATAGCTTACTATAATTGAAACAATTTATTGTCGAAAGTGCCAATTATTATAAGTAAAGCATGAGTGCAGGTATGGGATTATTTCCTTGTATAAATGGGATTCTTAGAGTTTCTGTGTTATGGATTAATAAGTAACATCACTTGACATCTTTTTTATTTGCCATTTTATTGAACAGTGCTCCTTTAACTGCATCTAATGGTACTTGGATGAAGCTTCAGTGATTTCCATGAATGTGGCTGTTTATAAGGGGAACATAAAGGAGCATGCTCCTTTTCGCGGCAACAATAGATACATGTTTGGGGTTTGTTCAAGGTTTGAGCATTGTGCTGTAGTATTACTCTTCAAACTTTGTAAAAGAATAGAGTGCACACTTAGATGCAGATTGGTTAGAAACTATCAGACATTTTACCCAAGCTATAATTTTTTGAAAATTTATATGCAGGGTAGGCTTTCTTTGTTTTTAATTGTTATATTGTACCCTGAAAATTGTAGACATAGATTCACAGAAGTACTTTATCTATCTAGTCAAATCATTATTTTGTTGTCAGCAAAAATATACGCTTAAACTACTAAGATAAATACTTTAAGAATGGTTGTATGTATATGACATGCTTCCAAGTTTAAAAGAACTGCAATCAATGTACTTATGTTCTGCTGAGAATATTTGTATTTTTAGGGGATTTTGACTGAGAGTGGGGATTATATGGTGGGAAAGGGTGTGAGCAGGACCAAACACTGGCAAAACTTTCCTCTCAAATCCAATTAACCAATATGTTAATCCATACTCCCTCTAGTTTTGAATGTAAGAAAACATTTAAAAATATATATGTTTGGTTGGTGCAAATATAGAATGTGTTTTGTAAATTTTTTATTTGGGTTTCATCAAGGTAAAATTAATAATCATAGTTTTTAGTTTCTGATGTTAATCTGTGTTAAAAAAATGTTTACGTTGCTAACAATTTCATTTGTCTCCTCTTTTGTGGTACCCAATCTTCATTTTACTTCGTATTTGTATTCTTCAGAGACTAGAATCAAAGGAGAAAACACCACATTACTAATGTTGCCTCTTTTGTTAATTGAGAAAACACATTTTTTATATCTTTGTTGCTTCTTTTGTTAACTGAGAAAACACATATTTTATTATATCTTTGTTGCCTCTTCTGTTAACTGAGAAAACACATATCTAATACTTTGTTATTACCTTTTACATTACTGTTCTGGACTGGACCCGACAGGCCCAAAAGCATTGCTAAGGCCCAGTCCAAAGGGACTTACTAAGGACCACGCCGAGCAAAGGGGTCACATCTGTGCCCGACATCCTGATGTCCAGCTCGACATCCCGCTGTCCAACTCCACGTGATGATGCCCAGCTCCACCTCCTGCCGTCCAGCTCGACGTCCTGACGTCCAGCTCGACACCCTGCCGTCCAGCTCCACGTCCTAACGTCCAGCTCGACACCCTGCTGTCCAGCTCGACGTTGTCTCAAGCATCCCAACTAGGGCAGACTCAGTCCACCATTCCCCCAACGATACTCCGGAAAGACCGCGTCTTCGTCCGCCCACACTTCACGCAGAACATCCAGGAAGGGGACCACGTGCGGGTCTCCACTACCCACGTAGAACCTGGCAGTTCCTCCATTGGGCCAAATCCGTCCGGCCCAATGAAGGAACCTTGGCCCAGCGCTGGGGGCTATAAATACCCTCTGTTTCCAGAGGGTCAGGTATTGATCATTCTAACCTCAACTTACTATTATCTGCTCGTACTCCTACTTACTTCAGCATCGGAGTGCCTTGCAGGTACCCCTCCACCTCGTTCAAAAAAGCTTTCTGCTCGGAGCCAGCCGTGACGGTCCATTTCTGATCAGGTCAGATCAGTGGCGCCGTCTGTGGGAAGCAGCTTCCCCGTCTAACGAACAATTCCAAAGACCAAAGCTCAATTCAATTACCTGTCATGGCTGATCCAGCTCGCGAAGAGCAGCACGTCCGTGTCGCCGACACTAATAACGGTCCCGCGGACAAGAATGGACACCTCGACAATCCCGGTGATCCCGACCACAATGCCATCCCTGTGACAACCGCCCCTGGACCTACCTCCCACAGGGACGGGGTTACTGCGTCGTCCTCTACGATCCCTCCAGCACTCGAAGACGACCCGGAAGCTCTCGCTTATCGCAGAGCTGCCCGGTTCTATGAAGTCCCAGTTCCTGCCGGGGCAGATGCCACGACTCAGGCACTGTTCGCGGCCATCAACCAGACAAATTATCTCATATTCGCCCAAGGAGAAAGACTAAGGGCACTAGAAAATGATCGACGACCCCCGAGGAGACACCAGAGGCCACCTTCTCCACCTCCTCGGGTCGAAGAAGTTCGACACCCTACTCCCCCGCGGAGACACTACAGGGAGAACTCCAGGAGCCCCTCTCCCCGACCAAAGCAGAGGCGGCCCCAGTACGAGAGACAGCCCGCTATTCCAGCCGGGGAACCCAGTCGCGACCCATCAAGGCACGACAGGAGGCACCCCAGAGACGGGCGTGTGACCTTCAACCACCGAGCATCACGCTCGAGGGAATCTCAGCACGATCATCGTGCCAGACATAACTACAGGACCCCTTCTCTTTCTCCGGAGAGGAGCGACGAGGACGACCCCCGCGGTCCCCTGTCGCAGGCCATCATGGATGCACCTATTCCCCCGGGCATGGAGAAGCCCCCACATCTGAAGGAGTATGACGGCGTAGCAGACCCGGTCGACCACATTGACGGGTTCGAAGTCATGCTCCACTATCATAATGTCGGGGGGCCCATCAAGTGTCGTCTCTTCCCCACAACTCTCAGGAAGGCGGCCATGGACTGGTATAAAGGACTCGCCCCGGGCTCCATTACCTCGTGGCGGAACTTGAAGAACCAGTTCATCAGTTCCTTCACAGCTTCTCGGCGCCACCCGAAGACCGAGGCGGCCCTCGAGGCCATCATCCAAAGACAGGATGAAACCTTGAGGGAATTCATCAACCGCTTCAACCGGGAAGCAATACAGGTCCCCTGCGCGGACCATATGAAAAGATATTTGCTGGAGAGGGGCCTCCTTCCCGGCACGGAATTCAGAAAAGCTGTGGGTATTGAGCCACCTGCAACTTTTGACGCTCTCCTCGACAAAGCCCGAGCATACATGGACTACGAGGAGAGAGAAGCTGCCAACAGGGCACGAGACTCCAGGGCTCGCGCTCCCAATCATAGCAGCAGCTCGCGACAAGACCCTCCTCCCCGACGTACGGGGGAGAAAAGGAAAGAAGATCGACCCCGGGAAGTCCGGGAACAAAGGGGCCCCTCGGGCCGTTTCACTGAGTACACTCCACTCACGGCTTCCCGCGAGCGTATTTTGGCGGAGTGTGCTAGCACAGATTTCAAAGACGGTGGCGTCAAGCGTCCCCGACCTGCTCCTGCCAAGCCAGGGGCAGACAAAAATAAGTACTGTCAATACCATAGGAGTCATGGCCATTTGACAGAGGACTGCGTCCACCTCAAGGACGCCATTGAAACCCTCATCAAGGGAGGGAGGCTCGCACAGTACAGGCGAAACGACGCTCCCCGTCGTGACGCCCATGAAGCTAAGGAGCTCGAAGAAGATGCCCGACCATCTGACGAGTCGGTGCCAATCCAGACCGCCTTCTCGGTAACCAGGCCCGAGGATTTCGAAATTCCCGAGCTCCTGCAGGAGCCCCTGACAACACACAGCAGGTGGGAATACTTCCCCTCCGCCATGGTCATCAACGGGGGCGGATTCAACGACCTCACCATCAATTCAGCCAAGAGGAACTTGGACGAACTGGTCGACGCAGCTCCTCCACAAACTGTGACGTTCGAAAGGGTGAAGGGTAGATCAGAGCCCATCACCTTCTACCTAGAAGAGCTCCCCGGCGGAGCCCCGAACGCAGTCATCCCCTTGCTAATAAGGGCAAAGATGGCCAATTTTGACGTGCATCGCATCCTGGTCGACGAAGGGAGTTCCGTCGACGTGATGTACAGCCAGCTGTTCCGGACCTTGCAACTGGACGACTCACACCTCTCTCCGTATGTGGGTTCAGACCTTCAAGGCTTCAACGGCTCGACTTCCAAACCTTGGGGTTATGTCGAGCTCCTGGTGACGTTCGGGGAAGGAACGGCTACAAGACAGGTGAAGGTCCGCTTCCTCGTCATTGATTGCCCGTCCCTATACAATTGCATCTTGGGGAGGTCGACATTGGCGGAACTGACAGCGGTGCCCTCAACTGTCCATCTAAAAATGAAGTTATATACCAAAAGGGCAAGGGTAGCCACCATCCAGGGAGACCTCGCCGCTGCCCGCAGGTGCTTCAACGCCGCTTCAAGGGGACGGGATACCGTCGACGTGGGTACCAGACCCACCAAGAAGACAAAGCAAGAGCCCGACAGAGCATCCCCCGAGGTAGAAGTTCAGAAGGCTCCACCAAAGGTCGACTCCATAGCCCTCGACGCCCGCTTCGACCAAGACGAGCCATCCAGCAGCGAGCAAATCCCCCTCCGACCTATTTCGGAAGGCGATTTTGAACTCGTTCCCCTCGGAGCAGACCCGACCAAGGGAGTGAAGATTGGCAAAGACCTTCCCGACTTGGCCAGGAAGCAAATCAAGGCCTGTCTGTGCGAGAATGTTGATCTCTTCGCCTGGAGCGCTGCAGAGATGCCCGGACTCGACCCTGAGGTCGCCTGTCATCACCTCGCCATTGATCCAGCCGCCAAGGCCGTAGTACAACGTAGGCGTAGGCAGTCTCCAGAAAAAACGGAGGCTGCTGAAAAAGTTGTAAAAGACCTCCTAGAGGCAAATTTTATTTTTGAAGCCCGGTATTCCACCTGGCTGTCAAATGTTGTACTTGTTAAAAAGAATAATGGAAAATGGAGAATGTGTGTTGACTATACCGACCTCAACCGGGCTTGCCCGAAGGATGCTTTTCCTCTACCTAACATTGACATGCTGGTCGACAATTCGGCCGGCTACAAGACTTTGTCGTTCATGGACGCCTACTCGGGATACAATCAAATCCCAATGGCTCTGGGCGACAAACGCTGCACAGCGTTCATGACCAGCTCGGGCAACTATTACTACAACGTAATGCCCTTCGGACTGAAGAACGCCGGTGCAACTTACCAACGCATGATGAACAAAGTGTTCAACGAACAGATTGGCGACATGCTCGAGGTATATATGGACGATATGATCGTCAAATCCCGAGCAGACACCGATCACGCAGCCCACCTCAAGACAGTCTTCGCCCAAGCAAGACAGTGCAAAATGAGGTTCAACCCCGAGAAATGCACGTTTGGGGTCAAGGCAGGAAAATTCCTCGGATTCTATCTAACAGAACGAGGGATTGAAGCCAACCCCGACAAGTGTCGGGTGTTCTCCGACCTCCCGACACCAACGTCGAAGAAGTCGATACAAATCATGAACGGCATGTTGACGTCACTATCCCGCTTCGTCGCGAAGTCCGCTCAGCACGCACTTCCCTTCTTCAAGCTCCTTCGAAAGGAAGCAGCCTTCGAATGGAACGAGGAATGC